TGAAGTCCGTTATTGCACTGTCCCGGCTGAGAAGACACAGTGGCAGGTAGTTTACACGTTCGATAAGTGACGGCGACGTCGAGTCGGACTGCACGGGGAAATTTCTCACGTGCCGATGCGGCGCACACGAGCTCGCTCGCCGACGACGATGCGTCCTCTTCCGCTCATCTCGGGGGAATAGACCGTGCGGCGCGCGATTCCGCTCGGTCACAAGTTGTGCGGCGTCGTCTTTCGCGATATGCGAGGAGATGAATTAACAGTCACGCCCGCAATTTTACGCATGGCGGATTTAATTTAAGACTTCAGACACTGCTCGCGTACGTGACGCGAATGAAATTTCACCGGAAGCCAAGTGTTGATGAAGCCTAGCGTTCCCGGACGTCTCGCTCTCTCCCGTTCGCTCGCTTATTCTCCTATCTCTCTCTCTCTCTCTCTCTCTCCGAAGCATTTTCGTTTCTATTTATGAGATCGTCAAGTAGCGCGAGTGGGCACCGCACCCGGCGCAAAGTAAATCGTAACTCGATGCTCCCCGGGGGCCTTTAATCGGCGTATAAAATTTTATTCCTCCGTAAACTAGATCTTCGTTATCGCGCCGTCGCTCGTGGCTCGCGGATTTAGATAAAGGGCAACAAATACGGCAGATTACAGAAAATATCCGGATTCTTACGATGCGCCGTGCACTGTATCAGCGGGGCCCGCGTGGCGGTTCCGGAGAGAAATATATCTCCGGAGTTCTTGTTCCGTAGAAATGGTTACTGAGATAAGGCGGCACGTCCGTGTAACATGCGGCCAACGGTGAATAAGCGTACTCAGGTAAATGGCTGGTTATGTTTGCAATTTATTATCTCGCCGAGAGATAGATGCACCTAACGCATCTGGGCACAATATCGCGTTAAGTCGCAAGCGGAGTCGTCGCTGTACCTGTCACAATGGCCGGTCGGCAGGCAATGTTTGCGTTACGTATTGCCCATTGAATCTTTCTCTTGTTGGCGTACGTACACGATCTTTATGATTTATATCGCAAACGTTTAACGGGGGCTAAAGGAGGGGAAAACGCGCGTGGGGTATCGCGCCGAAGGATTCGACACGGCTGACCTTTTTCATCTGTGTGCAACGGAATCGCGTAGATAAGAAACTGCTGAGAGAAGAAAGAAACTGGTCGCGAAATTACGGCGAAAAAAACCTAGTCGTTGTGCTGACCTTTAAATTCGATGTTAATGAGGCGCATTGTTTTTATTCCTCGCTTGCATATCAATTCGAAAAAAGACCCTTGGTTTCGCCGAAGAGGTTTATGTCTGTCGCGAGAAGTAAAAAACATCATTATCATAAACGTGGCAAAAGAGACAACATTTTCGTATATTTTCACGTCTCTATCTGCGCGCGCGTCCTTCCCTCTCGCGTCTCCTTCATTTCAAATTTATCTCGTCGCATGTATTATTATACTTCTTCCTCGACGCAAATTACGTATGCAAATTTACGGATCGGCTATTAAAGACACTCAGGACGCCCGGAACATTCAGATCGAACAACGCTGCAACGTTCGAGCATCGGAGATAAATCGAAGGCGATATCGGGGACCGCCGTCGTCGACGTGCCTACGCGGCCGCGACTTACTTTGTAATGTTTTTGGACTTTTGCGCATTTCCCGGTGTGCCTACGCGGCTTCGCCTTTCATTTCTCACGGTTGCGGCACCGGCGCGGCGCGGCGTCCGGTCCAGAATCAAAACCCGCCGAAGAGAGGACGAGGGAAAAAGAAATCCTCGCCTCGCGCGCGAGAGAGAGAGAGAGAGAGTGCCGGGGTCCATTGACAGCGTTTGCCCACGCGATATCGCCCGCGTCCGTATGCGTGTATCTTTATGCAGGTGCGTGCGGATGCGACTCGCCGCATGCACTCGTGCTCTTGCGCGTATACTATAATATGCACGGATATATGCGGAACGCCCACGACCGCTCGGCCGGGCCGCGCCGCGCGTATTTATGCGGGGAAACGAACGGGTGATTTTTCAGCGTGTTCGAGCCATGAATGGGCGCCTCATCGTGTTGGTTTTACAGACACGAGCGCGGCCCCGCCGCGCTCAGACGCTCTCCTCTCCTTCCCGTCATTGATTGTGCGGATGCTTGGCGCCATCCGCAGATCCGTAATTGCCGCCGGAAGATAAAAGGGGTCTTGGTGGCCACGCAAAATGTTTCGGGAATACGACATTTTTTTCGCCTCACCGTCCAAAGTTTTACCTCGCGTCCTAAAAATACCACATTTCTCCAATTGCCGCGCGCTCATTTGTCTTCGCTACTTATCGGCGGACCATCTCGCTGGGATCATTGATGCACTCTCGCGTGCCGTCCGGTTACGCTGCACTCTTTGACCCGGCAGAAATTCATGAATCGCTCGCCCGGTATCAAAAATGCTGGCTGGGATTTGTAACGCGCGCGGCTGACATTTAAATTGGGTTATTCCGAACAATTATACATATTCCAATCGGCTTGTCTAAACGATTTTGCGATGCCCATTCAATCCCGAGGAAACCAATTTGAAACGGTAGCCCATACTGGTCTAAATTGCGGATAGGGACAGGACCGATGTTTTCAATCGAAAAACTGATTGCATCCAGCGACCGCGACTTGACGTGTACAGGCAAAGACATACGTCAACTTTCGTGAGCGATCTTTGTAGGGTTGGCAAACGCACTCGGGATATTTTGAGAGAACGCTCTCAAGCTGACCACTGGTCCTACGATTCCGCCGTCAAACGCTTTCCCGCTCGATCGCGGCGACACATGTCCGCCGCCGCGCCCGGTTTGCCTCTCGATCTTATCTCCCATTGATTCCAGGGCCTCTCGCTTCATCGGAACCGATTACGAGCGAGATAATAATTTCTTTTGCACCGGCCGTTAATTCGTAAATTGTGTGAGCGAGCGAGAACGGAAGAAAGGCAAGCGATGGGGCGCGCAAACCGCACTAATGTCTCGTCATTACGTTACCTCGGGCGAGTTAATAATTCCGCAATCGCCAAAGAGAGACGCCGGTGGTTATCGCGGAGCCGGACAAATTACCTGCGTCAGTTATCCAGGGCCCAGGGCTCTCGGTAAACAGGTCCCCCGCGCGCGGCGTGTAATTTTCCCCGATCGTAATAACTACCCCCTAACGAGGGGGTAATTTCGAAAACGGCTCGTCCGTCACGTTCCGCCCCCTCCTTTCCCTCGGTCACCGTAATTTGACGTCTCGCGCATTGTTTTCCTCGCCCACGGAACAAATAAATATTTACCAGCGGCCGGGCTCGTTAAGGGACGCTACCGACGACACGGCGATCTACATTGAAAAGGACGTCCCGTGCGTCTCCGCTTGCGAAATCTCAATGCGACGCCAACTCCTCCCCGGCGTGACGGCGAGTCCGAGACCGTTTCTCTTTTCATTGTCCTCCGAAGCTCGCGGGCGTTTTTATACCTCGTTGCCTCGTCCGCGAGATCTGTCTTCTTTTATTTCGCCGCTCATTTGCGAAATTCGTCTTCGTGCGTTGCTAACATCGGAAGACTTTCGTCTGCACTCGATGTTAACGAGGCGACTCGCGATGAAAGGGTTTTACCCGTCGGTCGAACGTGCATTCGAGACGCGAACCGAAACCGAAGAAGAAGGATGCATCCATCACTCCGACCTGTCGTCCCTGGACGCGCGGTTGACAAACGATTTGACATAAGTACAATAGCGTAAATGGCGCTTGAATATTCCAGACGAAGACCATGGGTTTCTAGCTGCGTGACTCCAAGTTTAAGTGCATCTCATCTTTGACGCCGTAGACACGACGAGAAATTCACTCTGCGCCGATCGTTGCGTTACCACCATAGACATAGTGAATACAGAATGAGCGTCCCATTGAATAAACTGAAGCTTGTGAAGAGAGAGAGCTCTCTCACACACACTCTCGTTGGATTTGACTAAACATGGTGGCAACTCTGTTGGCCAGACTCTGATTAGAGGGTTTCTAATCCTCCCTTGTCACGATGGTGAGACAGAAAAAAAGTCTTCTTAAATCTTCTCTGTCTCTCTCTTCACAAGCTTCAGCTTATTCAATGGGACTCGGTTTATATTTACTATGTCTACGATTACCACTGTCGCGAATAAATGCATTCATTCGCGTGCATCTATTACATCGACGAAATATCGATTTCTTTACACGCCTAGCGGCAGTTTCGAATTGCCCAGGGGCTGACGGACTCCGCGAGCGTCCGACGAGCAGTTTCGCGGAATCAGCATTTCTTGCGTGGTACAGCACGTCAAAAGCAGCGCTAAAAGTTATGTCGATTGGCCGCACGCCAGCCGACGGATTCGCGCCGGCCGATATCCCCCGATAAGATCAGCGAAATCGCGCGGCGACGTCGAAACCGGGTACAATATTCATGCCGCACCGCAGGCACCAGCGGATGACAATCAATTACGATCCCGAGTAACAGCCCGAGTCGCCACCGCGCAAACGAAATGTTTATCGACGTTAATTAAAAATCGGCACGAACCTTTGACAGTCGCTGTCTCGCGAATTAGCACTTTGCGACGCGTCCCGCCGATCACCCCGGAGGAGTTGCACGGCTCTCTCTCTGCGATCCCTCCTGCCTCCTTCGACCGCCGCTCGCAAAATCCGACGCCGCGCGCGCCTGTATCGTACGATTCGTTCCTATTCGTGCTCTTAATAGGAGCGCGTCCCGCAAAGGTAAGGCTTCTGCCCGAGAACCCGCCGCGGCCAGTTTTCATGCGAGTCGAAGAAACACGAGAAAGTGGACGACGCGAGGTTGCATGCGAATGCAAGTTCACCCGATTCCGCCGTTCTAGACGCAAATTACTTATCCGGACCAAACTTACGGAAGGAGTCTCGACGGCGAGAAGAGGAAAGTCTACGTGTATCGCTTTTCTATTTGCAACTAGATCGAAATAATCGTATGGCGTCGATCGTGAGTTATATAGTAAAGTATGAGAAGGGGCATTAAATAACATTAAATTTGTTTGAAATTTACCTCTAACGTTAGACAGCCGTTGCCCGGCTTCGAGGTTGGGCTGCACCACGGCGATTAGAATCTGGAGCATGAATAGACACCGCATGATTGGCACTGAATCGAACGTGTTTCTTGCTAACGAAACGCGATCTCCTTGATGTCTGCCGATGCTCCCCTTTATTCTGGAACACACACGTCGTGTAACCGCAACATGAGTTTCTTGTTAAATCCTCTCATCACGCAGCAATTGGGTCACTTCCGCGATTTAAGATTACGAATTAAAGCTTTGTCGAGCTCGAGAAGAATGTTCCGCCGGCGGCGGCGCGAAGCGTAGAGAGATAATTTATGAAAAGCACTTGACTAAGCTGTCTCTGACCGTGGTACCTGGGAAAAAATTCTAAAGGTCGAAACGAGCATTTCTTCTCTTCTCTCTCTCTCTCTCTCTTCCTCTGCCTAAAAGAATGAAGGGGTAAAATACTTTTACCTCCGTCCGTTCCTCGGGATAAAAAGTCCCGTCAATGAGAGAATGGGACGGAAAATCAGTTTCGTCCTATATTTTCTACACGTCAGGCTTATGCTCGGATATAACGTGTCTCATACAATTTTCTCGCGCCGCGTCGAGCTGTTTCAGGGCCGTTTCGTGGCGACGATCCGTAGTTACGATAATTGGAATTCGTTCAACCATACCGTGCCGATGATCGAGCCCGACGAGCCACCGGACATTCTTCTGTCCAAGCGAAAGGCAAGGCTCGTCTCGGAATACTGACTCTTTCGCGGACAATAGAATCATAGCTCGCGGTGTCTCTCGGCAAGACCAGCTGGACGATAATGCTGTCGATGGACGCCTATCAGAAATTACAAAATTATGCTAAACCGCGATCTCGACCACGTGCGGAGAGCGTCATTTGCATCGCGCAATGAAATATACGAGATGTAAGAACTAACGTCAGCGCATTCTAATTTTCAATCGATATCATTCGCGCGTGTTCAAACGATTTCGCGGGGAGGACAGCTCATATAAATTTTTTAATAACTGGTTAATTAATATCAACTAGTCCGGGCCTCGTAATATATTCTCGGCGAGATACGCGAATGGTTCTGGTATCGCATAAGCTGCACGTCGGCTTAATCCGCACGAGTAGCGCTTGTGATCTTCTCAAGTACTTCCACATAGAAACCAGACCCGATGCTCTACGAAAGCGCAGGAGAGGTTCGTAGCCGGGATGATAAGTCGGATGGGAGAAAGTCGAAACGAGTTCATTAATGCGAGGCGGAATTGGTAATTAGTTCCGCGCGTATCTGTCAACCAGCGTGCAAATAGGCTTTGCGTGTACGAGCGAAGTTGACGGGATTGTCGATAAATATTTGTCGATATCGCTTTTAATCCATCGACATTGGAGTAAGGATACTAAAATATATTTTAATAATTGAGTCGCGTTGAAGGAAGCAGCGATAAGGCCTGTTATACGCCGTACGTCGCTGTCGGATGTCGGGACGTAGCCGATGGTCCAATGGGAACATTTCTTTTCAAAAAATCGGCTACGTCCCGACATCCGACAGCGACATACGATGTATTGTATAACAGACCTAAGACCCGTTCTACAATACGTCGTATGTCACTGTCGGATGTCGGAACGTAGCAAAGACATTGAAAAGAAACTTTCTCATTGGACCACCGTCTACGTCCCGACATCCGACAGCGGGATACGACGTATCGTAGAACAGTCCTAAAAGTTACGTCCATAGACGTAGTATACAGGGACCCACCATGCGAATTGGCAAAGCCAGCAGAACTGAGAGAGACGGAGAATAGAGATGCTCTCATGTTGCTACGTTCACGCGTAATTTTCTTCGGCGCGTCTTTGACACGTGTCGTTGCCAAGAATACAAGAGGGAACTCTAGCCAACGTGGCAATTATGAGGTTGGGAAAACTGTCGAAGCTGTCAAAACTGTCCATGGGTCAAAGTCGCGCCGAAGAACGTAGCAGCGTGAGAGCATCTTTATTCTCTCTCAGCGCTGGCATCACCCATTCACATAGAGCACGGTGGGTCAATGCACCTATGCTACGTCCGCGATGCCGTCAAATTTATTTTGTGAGAAGCGAGGGAACATTTGTGAGTGTGCTCAACTTAAAATTCAACTTTCCTACAATGGTGTTCTACGTTGTTGTAAAAAGCTAAGGAAGATATACAGAGTTTTATGTTATTTTAAAATTAGTATACACAATGAAACTGTAACGTCGCCGGCCGTAAAAATACAGGAGCAACATTATGATGATAAACAGATATGACGCTGTATAAATAACGTTACAACTCGTGTTTCGGAGTTACGAGCACATGGCATTTTAAGTGTTAATTGACGCTGTTTCGAATTCGTCTCTATTTTCGAAGTAAACACAAACGTTCGCGACGCGCAAAATTACAAGTATCCGCGTACTCGACTCGATTGTATGCCGTGTCAGTAACAGATGTAACCACTTACGATACAACCGCGGAATATTAATAAGCGGGGCGTAGGTTTTAAAGCGTCTCGCGTCATCCCGATTGAGTTGTCGCACCTGTAATACGCCGCCGTGAGGATGAGGACATCGGTGTAGATTAACGGCACGAGTGTCATTAGAGAACGGTGTGAATCTACGACGAGTAAACGTGCATTCCGCGCGCGGCCCTTACGTATGTCTCTAATAGATGCTCAGCCGGAAGTGGGCGGTTTCGTTGCATCTTGGATGAACATTTGTTTCCTCGGCAAGAGAAAAACTCAACTCGGAAAATAGTGAGAAGCGTCGCTTTCCGTAGCTGCGTGGAACACAGCGACCAATTCTCTTTCGCCTGGTCGTATCTCGATTTTACGTCAGTTCTGGCTTTTTGCGCTTAAACGCTCATTCTGGACCAGGCGAAAGAGATCGGTCGATAGGAAATCGCACGTGAAGACATAGAAGCTCGCGAAAAGGCACGAGAAAGCGAATAAATAAATTCTGAAGTCGCTCGAGCAAGATTAATCTCTACAGGCGTAACGACGTGTACTGTCGTCGAAAGATTTAAACATCGTCATAATTAATACGACAACCCACCCAGTGAGCGACTTCCAATTGTGCGAAACCGAATGATCTCACGATTGTTATGCGAGTTCGTGTCAAGGCTTCTTTTTCAACGTGAAACATTTTCCACCGTGCTGCGAAAAATGCCGTCGACTACGAGACCCATTAATCTTACGCTTTTCAAGTGCTTTACGCTTGTCGGTTCTCGAATTACATGCGTTTGTATTAACCGCGTTCTCATTTATAACAATACACGAAGAAAGCTTAATTAATATCGATTAGCCGGAGGAAGATTTTGTTAAACAAAATCTTGGCTGTTACCGCGGGTAACGTCGAAGTCGTCACGATCCACTTTTGTGATCCGATTATTAAAAAAAAACCCTCCTCGTTTAAACAGATACTGTTATATCGAATAATTACGCCTACGTATTCCGAGTTATCAAGTTATTAAATCCGTAATGCATTTTTTTTTGCAAGCGTATAACTCTGGTAATAAATTAAGCGGCCACATAATAAATTTCTATCCGTGCGACAGCTATCGCGTACGCTTCGCATTGCGATATTTTACTCGTATTTTACAGAATAAGAATGCGCGGAGATATTTATGCGTGTAACACCGCGGTCCAGCGGTTTCGCATGAATGTGCGATTTATGCCATTAAAATTTTCTAACAATATATCGAACAACGTAAACGAATTGTCAGTGAATGTATCGCCGGTATGCAAAATATTTATACAGGGTGTACTAAAACCACCGGATATCCTTTGAATCGCAGATTCCTTAGAAAATTTCAAGAGGAAAATTCTAATAAAAAAATGTCGAGGCTATGATAGTTTTTAAATAATAAGCGATTATATTTCACAAATGACAGGTCTGAGATTTCGCGAGCGAGCGAGAACCAAAGTTACCGTTTAACGGGACAGAAAATATTTGGGAAGACGATGATCCGGTTATTTTGAAAATTTGAGGATAAAGAGAGGCAGGAGACTAGATTGAATCTAACTGAAAATTCCAAGTTCACTCAGAATATCGGAGATCGAAGGATATCAGTCTGATCAAGATGCTCATCATAGTGAACCCCTCCCTTTTATTAATAAGACATTACACAAAGTTAACAAAAGAAATGGTTAAAGATAACAAGAGGAACAATTAATTCGAGAATGAATCGTTAAGTCTGTTGTGAAAGTTGTCACTATGTTAAAAAGGGCGATATTCGTAGGACCTTTATCACTTGTCGTGTCGCCGTACCTGAGCGCGCGAAATCTCAGGCCTGTCATTTGTGAAATGTAATCGCTTCTTATTTAAAAACTATTATAGCCTCGACATTTTTGTATTAGAATTTTTGTCTTGAAAGTTTCTAAAGAATCTATGATTAAAAGGATATCCGGTGGTTTTAGTACACTCTGTATATGACTCGGCTTACTCGGACACACAAATTAAAGCTGCGCTAGTAAAAGATACGTTCCCTGTTCGTCGTAATGGATCGAAATATTATTTAAAAAAAAATTATTCTAAAAGCATTTATTCGTCTGAATTAATCATTCATAATATTCTACATGTTATGGATTTTACTGGCATTGCACGCGGACTTTCGTAATACTACTGTATTTTTTTATAGAAAGTGTAGATTATATTCAAAACTGAAAGAATTAATAAATCTAGAGTATTGGAGTATTAGAAATGCTTTTGAATGTGCGATATAATGATAATTATTCGTAATATTTTTTACAAAAATAATTTGTACGGAGAGAATTTTCTCTTAACATTTGGCTTGAAAGTTGTGCAATCGTGGGACAACGCGACATTTTGAAGAACGTTATGAGAGAGGTTTTTGAAATTTAACCATACATTTTTTAATGTACGGTAAAATTTCATAAACTGAAAAAGTCCTTCAAAATACCGTGTCTCACGATTACATGATGTTCAAGGTAAATTGTAAGAGAAAATCCTCTCCCCGTGTGAAAATAAGAGTATTGCATAGATTTAATTTCTAAAGCGTGGACAGCACAGTAATTTATAAATGGAAATTAATTTCAAAGTCTTCTGCAAAATGTAATCCTAGGGTCTTTACAACGTGAAATTATCAAGATTTCTATATTGGTTTGCTTATAAATTAAAACTGTTCTATATGAACTGCAAATATGCTCGAATGACAAACGACATGATCGTGAAGGTAAAATTAATGCGCGCGTGACTCTTAATTAAGAGCGAAAATGCGACGATCGAGATAAAAATGTACGAAAAATGTATGGTACTGTAACTTTACATTAGCTTATTTAAACGAGACGCAAGAAGTTTTTATAGTAATGTCTTTCGCGTAGGTTAAGTAATTAAATAAAATGATATAATTATCACATACATTCACGCTGCATTTTTTAACGTTATGAACTACTCTCTTTATTTATACAAAGAATTTAACTTTTTATATATTACACTTTTATTCATACGACAGCGATAAAAATATTTCCTGAATCTTTATTATCGCTTTGAAATTCAAATAGCAAACGCGTGTAAAGGATTTTTTGTTAGATGTTCATATAAAATTGAATATAAAGCTTCTTTTGTGTGTGTAATCTCTGACAGAGTATTTAGTAACTTGTGTGATATTTGTAGAAATTTTTGTCTGAAAAACATGAAAAATGTAAACATGTAAATATAAAAATAATTGAATTTTTTAGAAAGTCTCATTGTCTGTAACATTTAATAATTTTCCTACGATATTTACTATTTCTAAATAGTATTTCTAAAAAAATGCTTCTAAATACTATTTCTAAATACGAATGTAGAGATTGTAACCCTAAGGGGAATTCAATAAAGATAATTATTATTATTACTATTTTCTAAATAAATAATTTGTCATGATTGCAAACTACGAAATTTTTTAACAGCATTGTGAAACACGAGCCCGGAGCTAACGATAACTTAAGCAGATATCACGGCAGCGAGTCGTCCTCCGCGCGACCGTGAGAAGCAATGTACTTGTCCGTGTATAGGCCCTCCTTAACGATTTAATAATTACGTGGCTCCCTTCGGAAAGCCGAAACAAGTCTCTCATTAACTGCAGCGTAATTTGTTGACTTTCGATTTGATATGCAACTCCGCGAGCGCGCTGACGTACCGCGCCATCGGGTTATCATTATCGTGATACGTGTAACAACATAATGACGTAACAGTGAGTCCATTTTTCTGCATCCGCCACTTCGTAAGAAAGGTATATGATGCGCAAATAGCGGGTTTTCATTCGGCAAATAATGCTGACCCATTTCGATTAATTAACGCGTTCTCCGCGCCGCTCGAAAGATTGAGAATTATGTGCGCGCGCGCGATAAATTGGACCACGGGTGGCTGCGAGGTTTTCAAATCGCGGGATCAGTTTATTCGAGGGCCCAACGGGACGATCGTTGTTACACGATAGAAATGTTCATTGATTTACGGTGCTCACTGATTCAGTCTCGAAACTTATTCATTATTTGTCATTTGGAGCGCTGCTACGTACGATTTGTAGCTATGACCGATGGAGAACACATGATTATCAAACGTGCAGGTGTGCCGATTGATTGATGATTACGCGGCGCTCTCTCTCTCTCTCGCTTCGTTAAGTGCGCGTGTCAATGTAAAATCGCAGATGATCCATGACGCGTGATACGTATTTCCTCCGGCGACGCTTTCTGTCGCACGGAAAAACAAGTCGGGCGACTTCGCGAATAACCGTCGTCGATATCGAATAGAGGTATCGTCGTCGTCGTCATTCGCGGAAAATTATTAATACGATGACAAGTCGAAGTTGATCGAAAGACGTAAGGCGCGCGATGCACGGAAGTCGTTTGCCCAGCAGCCTTTTCGACGACATCCGCACGACATTTCATCCGATTATTAGCGATTTTTCTAATAGCATTTATGCGTGTCATTCTCTATGAAACACGATCACAGGAACTTTACGTTGTCTAGTTGAAAAAACGTTACGAAGATTTTTCGGATAAATCGCGATAATATCGGTACGTTTTATGTACGTAGAGGAAAATCCTCTATTATGAGATAAGCTTCTAATGTGAGATAGCCTAGGGTTTTTGCTAAATTAATAGGCGTCGTCTATCGGTCTCGTCGTTAATTTATTACCTTTGAAGTTTGTTTAGTGGAAAATTTATTGTTAAATCGGATAATCATTGCGAATAAAGATTTGTGATTAAATGTTCACGTTGAAAACCTGCTATCTCATATTAGAGAACTTTCCTCCATATAAAAGGCTGAAATGGTTGGCACGTGTCGCAAGTAAATTAATAAGCATTCAAGCGCTTCACGTGAAGATCGTTTGACGGAAGTCTCATCGCCCGCGAAATATAATTCACGGACGACCCCGTCGGAAAATTCGCAGCCGCTTATTACGTGCGGACTGGCCGCGGTTTAAGACTGACGTCGTTTACGTAATCCCGCGCCTAGATTTATGGGACGGCATTATTTTTTCGCGCGGTACTTCGGCGCGCCGCGATGAAATCCGCCGGCTCCGAGGACCATCCGCCGGTCCAGCGCGGCGCCGCGCAATTTTTATCCTCTCGTCTGACGCGAGATAAACGAGGCCGTTGACGGCGCGCTGAGATTTTTCCGCGCGGCAAATCGGCCCGCGTAAAAAGCGGGCCTGGAACCTGTTAAACTCCCGAGCGAATCCGCTCGATCATCCGCGTCGCGGTTAACCGTTACCAAACCTTTCAGTCGCGTTTACCTTCAGACGCGAAAGAGGGAGAGTCGATTTTCGCCGCGCGCGTTTTCGCGATACCGTCCCTGACGCCGCGCATGACGACGCGAAATGTTTTCTCATTTGAAATTATTGTATCTCGCGGTTCTCGGCATCAATTCGCGGTTTCCTTTTCGGCGAGAGAAGAAATACCGGAGTAAAAGATGGAGAGAAAGGCAAACGCGTTTCGAGAGCACAAAATACTCTTCACTTTTTGATAAAGTTTACGGTAAAATCGATGGGGAAAGAAGGCTCACCCTTTTCCCCGCATCGATTTTATATCTTTTTGGAGCCTTCGCCACTCATCTAGGTTTCGGTAATATTGAGAGATCGGACAAAGAAACGAGATGCGGCCGCTTTAACTGGAATCGAAGGCGTCAGTCTGACCTGAACTGATACCTCTATCGGCGGCTCACGTTTCTGCGCTGACGATCCGCGACAACGCGTCCTGGATGTGACACGAGTCGCGGCGATAAACTTAGGGATTCCGCACGCAAGGCGGACGCAGCGCGGAGCACGTGGCTGTAACTGGACGCGTCAGTCCTCGAAGTCGTAAGGTCTAGATAATGCGTCGTTCGCGGGAGAGATCTCGCGCGTCGTGGGATGCGTTTAACCGCGAACGGGATGCGTTTGCCGCTCGTAAAGGCGAGAAACCTCGCTGCACCGCGATGCAAATCGAGTACGTACCCATGCCGCTGGCGGTGAGGACGTCACGACAGCACGTGGCGCGCATTTCCGGAGCACCTGTCCTCGCACGCGCGTAGCGTTAGCAGATCTGCACGCGCACACACTTCACGACGACATCCCACGGTGTGTCAAACTGGTAAACCGCTCTCGCCCTCCGAGAGAGAACTCGTCACATAGGAATTCACTTTTCGCCCGGAAGTAAAGACGCTTATCGCACCGCAGGTAGGGAGGAGAAAGGAAGGCGGGAGGCAAGAAACTTGAGGCAAAGAGGCAAGAAAGGTTCGAGGAAGGTGGAGGAGGGTACACGATCGCCTCCCCGACGGGAGGAAGGAAACGCCAAGGGCTCCCGAGAACGAGAGGAGACGGAGGGAATCCGACGCGACGCCGAAGAGCAGGGAGGGCGCGACGGAAAGGAAGACAGACGGATAGAACGCGGATGCCGGCCCGCCGGAGAAGTCGTGGGCACGATCGCCGTCACAACACTAGTAGCCTGGTACACTCTTCTGGTGGTACATACACACGATCCGTCTCCCTATCTCCCTCGCTTCCCTCTTTCCCTCTCCGTCTCCGTCTCTCGATTCCCTCCGCACGTACGTGCGTTTCCTCCCGGTGCAAACACCGTGCAACGCTCGCGTGCACACACGCACCCGCGTACCCGCGTACGTGTGCGTGCTCTCTCGCCTCTCTTTTTTTCCGCCTCCTCTCTCGCGCCGCGTAGAAGGGAACCTCACGTTCTCTCCTCCTACTCTTGTTCGCGTCTCTCAACCGCCCGCGAAAGCACACACCGCGACAGGGCGATCTACTAGGTGAGACTAGTTCCTCCACCCAGCCGTGGACCCGTTTTCTGTACGCCTCTCTCCTTCAGTCGCCTTCCGTCTCCCTCGTCGTCGTCGTCGTCGTCGTCCGTCCGCCTCGCCGTCTCCCTCTACTTCTCTCAGCCGTTCTAGCGGCTCCTGCTCCGTTTCGCGATTCTTCTCGCGCGCCTCCGAGAGGATTCTTCCTGATTTTACGAGCACCTACGGACCGATACGTTTTTGCTCCCGGATCCCCTGCTCTCCGACTGCAGTCATCGGGATAGACTGCGCGATGGGAATAAGCCGATCTCTTCGGCAAGCGAGAAAAGAGAATTGTAACATTATGGAACTAACGCCTCGTATTCGCGAGCGTGCCTTTTCATCGTTGCTCAAATACAGAATTTCCATAAGCTTTCGTTCTCGTCTAGACGAATCGATTTCAAAGTAGTCGTCCAACAGCGCGATCCCGCTTCTCTTTTACCGTGGCTTCGCTCTTGCGACGGAGGACACGCGAAAGGATGCCTCCTGGGCTTACGGGCTCTTATGACACGCTCTGCCGATCCTTTCGGATTAATTGCGCGATATACCGCTTTATCCTCTCGACGGAACTATTAAGCCGGTAATACCTTTCCCAGACGTCGACGATGAAAAAAAAAGCGCAGCAACGGGAACACGCATCTGCGGAAGATAGAGATCTTAGCGAAATTAATTTCACCATCGGCCCACAAATCCAACTTTGCTGCAGTTTTCGGAAGAAAAATGTGCGGATTAATTTCTTTTTTCTCCAACGAAAATCGATCTAACGCAGGAATTAATGGAGCAGAAAGATAGGAAACATGTAATATGGATAATCGATACCCGAAAGAAAACGTTCGACGTCCGCAAGAAGAGACCGTTTCCGTATCCTTCTTGACGATATACCGTTTGTCTAAATCCTTGACGAGATTTTCCTCCCGCGCCCCCGAGTTTGCAGTCTCGCACACGCCGCGTTATACGTTTAATCTATGGAGATTGAAGCGGAGCGCTAAGAGAAGACGCGAATAATAACGCGAAAATCGCGTATATCTTATTTGACACGCGTTTCCACTCCCGATCCGATACTCCAATATGTATGCAGGCGCGCCGGCTATTTCTTTCTTCCTCGGACAGTGATAAATTTATCGTTACGTTCATTCTTAATCCTTTCGATCCGCCATTCCCTCTTCGTACTCCCGTCTCGTTCTCGTCTCGTTCTCGCGGAGAGATTCACTCCGATTTCGCAAGCGGTCCCGAGATACTCCGGCGCTCGCTCCGGCGGATTGTATCTCTCCTCATTGAGTTCGCCCGACCGAAATCGAGCCCATCGCACATCCCACGCGCAAAGGAGCTCCGGCGTGTAATGCCGAAATGGGAGGCGAGGTGGGATCGCACGTGTACAGCATCGAAGAGAGTTCGGAGATGTCGGGATTATATACGAAAGCGATGCCAAAGAGCAATCTCCCGCTAAGGAAGCTAAAACGCCCAGCAAACCGTAGCCGCCTTCAAAAAGATAGTTCCTTTACATGTTACGTTAAATGGATACGATATAGACAGACGCGATTGTTGCAACTGAAACTGTCGGAGAATAAAGTTTACGGTTCAACAAAGCGTGCAGCGCGAGCACACTCGTGCACGTCAATGGAAAATATTCAATTGTACATTTCAGTACAATGTAATGTACGCGATGTTGTAAATATTCATGTAATAATTATACTTCATTACATGAGTATACAGCATGGATTTATTTTAATTGGAGGGAATATACAACGTGAAATATTTAACACGTATACACTGTACGAGTTTTACACGCGTAAGCGTGTAAATTGTGTAGCCTTTTTCACGCGTTTACACGAGTGTTGTGCCTACACGATTTTGCACATTTACGCGTGTCAAAATTAGACACTTGGATTGTACAGTGATGGGCAGAAGGTTGCGACACTGTTTTTTTAGTGAGTTTGGGAACGTGCATTTAGATTCAGGGTTACGTCCCAAAGTCTTCTTCTCCGAGGAATATTTTACTCGATGTCCATTCCGAAACCATTTTGAGCGTTTTCGATCTATTTCTCGAGTAAAATTTTCCTCGGAAAAAATGTTTTGGACCGTAAACCTGAATTTAAACTCATTTAAAAAAGTGTCGCGACCATCCACTGTCCACTGTACACCCAAAATTCAAGTGTGTAATTTTGGCGCACGCAAGTGTGTGGCGATTGTGGTGCAGAGAAATGTGCGCTGCTTAGTACACAAATGAACGAAAAGATCCGAGTTTAAATCCACGAGCACCACTGGATTTTCGGAATTTTCTGAAGGAAAATGGTAACCACCGAGAGTATCTTCCTGTCACACATATCCTTTCAGGGGTACAGCCCTCCAGATTGGAGGTCTCCTTCGGCAAGGTTAGCAGCTTACCGAAGATGAAGTAAGTGCTCAAAGTACCAGTTCGTTCTGGTACAGAACTGGTACAGATCGAACTGGATAAAACAGGCTCTTAAGCCTAACACGAGGAAGAAGAAGAAGAAGTGTCTAAACCCGTAAAAAAAAATAGCAGACATAGACTGAGCGTCCTATTGAATAAGCTGAAGCTTGTGAAGAGACAGAGAAGATTTAAGAAGACTCTCTTTCTCTTACACCGTCGTGAAAGAAAAGAATCGTGCCTGCGCAATACTACACGGGCGTGATTCTCTCTTGTCACGATGGTAGACAGAGAAAGAAAGCCTTCTTAGGTCTTCTCATCCTCTTCACAAGCTTCAAGCTTATTCAATGGAACGCTCAGTCTATATTTATACTATGTCTATGCGTAAACATAACACGCACATAAGTGCGTTAAAAAGGCATCGTGATTTACACACTTACGTGTGCGAAAATTACACACCTGGATTTGCATGTGTAATATCTTAAGTATGGCACAACACGCGTACGTTGTAAGGGAAGAGGGAGAGGAGGGGGCGCGCACATATAGGATACTGCGAAAATCGCTCTCGAGAATCCTTATCTCTTCCTTTGAAGCCGGCGTCTAAATGCAGCCCACGCTGCGGATGGAAGGTACTTTTACTACTTTTAACAGCGGTTTCATGCGCGCTTGGCCATGATTATCAATTTGCGCGGACAGATAGCGCATTATCGGCGCGCCGCTTAATCGCGCCCAGCAGCCGGCGGCCTGCAGCCGAAGGCCGTATCGATTCTAAAATCCACAAACGGCCGGCCCACGCGGGCGCGCGAGTTCGTAGGACGTGCGAATAGCTACCAGGCTACCTGCTTATTATCAAGAAAGTCGTCGCCGAAGTCGTATATCTTCCACGGACAATTAATTCTCTGCCAGCAGGTCTCGGGACGCGAGGCTGGCTCGCGTTGTCGTCGTAGAATCGTGTCACGGATTTTCAGCGACACCACCAACGGGTGGATTCGACGGAATTGCGGCTGACCTTACGCTGCCGCGGCGAGACGGGCGATAAATCGAACGATCGCAATGGATTGATCGATGGTGAAATATTATGCTAACGTATAAGAGAAGAGGGACAGAGAAAGAGAAAAAGCTGCGGCGCACTGCGAGCTTATCTGCGAAGCGCAACTCGGACGATAACGCCGGTGTAATAATGAATATGCGATCGCCGCGTCGAAATCGATCGACAATTCGCAAGCAAAGCGGTAATTCAACTCCGCGGATGAGCGATAAATCCGGCCGGCGCGCCCGATTAGTTAGCACCGTCGCTGTGTTTGCGACTTCTACGGCGCTTATACCCGGTGGCCCGATGGTATCGCGGGGCTTCATCGTATTATTCATGAGTTTATAGTCTCGGGAGGGCAGGAGAGGGCTGATGGAGTAGGGCGTGCTCCGCGCGGTACCGATTTTATTGCTCGTCGTAGGTGCTATCTCTGGCAAAGCGGCGGTGTCTCGATATCGCTCGCGCGCGGGCACCGAGAGGCCGTCGAGACGCGGGACCACCCACTCTATTCGCGGCGGACGTCGTTTTTGCGCCGCTCTCCGGTAAAACTCAACTCCCCCTCGCGCCGAGGACTCCGTCCTTCGTGTATGACAAACGATCGGCCGTAGCGTTGAATTAACTCTTGGGGCCGGTCGGTGTACGTTTGATTAAGTCTACCGGAGCGTATCCGCCAAGATGCATCGAGTCTCCATTCATGTGCATGACAGGCGGGATACTCGCCGGCATTCAAGCAACGTGTAAAGCGGCGCTGCATGGGCGGTCGTGCGATAATGCTAATTTCAATTTGACGGCTTTTGAGGAAGGTCCAAGATGTTCGCGGCCATCGACAGTTTTCGCCCCGAGCCAAATCAGCCGTCGCGCGAACAGTCGATTGACGTGAGTAAACGCGGTGAGGCCGCTTCGCCGCGCGGGGCACACGTTCTCTCCCTGTAATCGTCGTCCGTAATCCGGCGAGATTGCAAAGACAAGCGACGCGCCCAGGTCCTCGATCACCCCGGGTGTCATTTAAATCGCCCACAACGAGGCTAGATCGATTCTCCGACTCCCTTTCC